CAGTATTAGAGAGGACGGAGTGTCCGGGGTGATGGGCCAGGCTGTGCCCCGGGGTCAGGAGTGCTGACTTCGTGGGATGTCCCTTGATCCCGTGGAACTGGCCTGCCTGGAAGTTATGCTCAGGGTAAACTTTTTTTTTTTTCCTGAGTCGGGGTCTCGCTATGTTGCCCCAAATGGAGTGCTGTGGCACCACCCCTGCTCACTGCAACCTCCACCTCCCAGACTCGAGTGATCCTCCCATCTCAGCCTCCTGAGTAGCTTGGACCACAGGCATGCACCACCTGACCCGGCTCGTTTTTTGCATCTTTAGTAGAGATGAGAGTTTTGCCATGTTACCCAGGCTGGTCTTGAACTCCTGAGTTCAAACAATCCTCCTACCTCAGTCTCCTGAAGTGTTGAGACTACAGGTGTGAGCCACCATGCCCGGACCAGGATGATTTTGATTATCACCGGAACCCAAAGGTGGAATAATAACATAGACTTCCGAGTGTCTTGACAGTCTTCACTAATTTGAATGGAATGCAGTCACTGGTTGAGGGTACAGAGAATCCCTGAGCAGAACCCTGGGTGTTTTGTTTCTTTGCTGTGGCCCTGCCCTGCCCCGGCCTCTGAGAAATGCGGAGCCTTTCCTTTCCCCATCCCTCCCTCTCCCTCAGGGGTGATTTCAAAAGTTCTCACCTTCTTATAAATACTCCTTGGGGTCAGGGAGGGAAGAAGCTTTTTTATTTTAGGCCTCTGGTGGAAGATTAATGGGACTGTCTCCTGGTGAGGTGGCAGAGGGCAGGTCTGGCTGAGAGCTTGTGTGCAGGGGTTTGGGGAACGGACACTGGGAATGGAATGAAGGCCCCACTGCACACAGCACCCTTGCTGGGAAGGGTGGGGGCTGCAGATACCTGTAAGGCTGCTCGACTTTGAGGGGGACATCTGGGTCTTCTGGGGCCAGGTCCTTGGAGAACTCTGGAAATGCTCTGGGATTCCCCAGGGCCCACGACCACACGGTGCTCAGCCGAGAAGCCAGGGAAATGGAGGCAGCCGCCATGCCCTAGAAACGAGGCCCTTTCTCTGTTCCAGTCTCTTGGATGAAGAGTTGGAGGGACAAAGCTACCTTATAGTGGCTGACATTGCCACCCACCTTGTTCTGCAGGGCACCAAAGCCAGATGACCTTTGATTTAGAAACATCATGCGACAATTCTTGCACCTGAGTGCCGTGGGACCCATTCACTCCTTCCTGGCCCCAAGCAGGTGACGCAGGAAGCCTAAGTTTTAATTGATACAGACTTGAAATATTCAGAGAGCTAAGCTATCAAATGCACCTTGTTCTCTGCATTTTTCTTATAACAAGAACATGCCCCAGTGTCAAATAACCATGTCGGGGATGGCAGGAAAGGGACTCATGGGTTGTGATTTTACATGTGACGTCAGAAAGGCTCTGTAAACAGGAGGTGGGACGTGCGCCTGGCCAGCACCCCCCACTCCCATGCGCAGTGATTCAGGCTGGATGGCACGTAGTGAGTCAGGCGAGGTCACCACTCCACAACCCTTGTGACTGTCACCTTTGCATAAGCAGAGTGACTTTTCCCCCAATCTCATACCAGTCTGGCAGCACGTATGAAAAGAACGGTGAGAGAAGCTGTTTTATGCATTTCTAAAGGAAGCGGAGAAGTAAGAGCTTGGTATTTTTCAAATGGAACTCAAAGGTCTTTGCAGCCTGGGCTGGACTCTGGGCTGAGAGCTGTCGGAGGCGCTGCTGCAGGGGTGGCGGTCGTTCCTCAACCCGATTCTATCATTATTATTTACATTCTATGTCTTCTCTTTCAAGATTATTTTTTTGACATTTGCCTTCTGGCAGAGCTGGAACCGATGAGTGGGAGGTGGATTTTGGCGGAACACAGGAGGAATTCTCTTAGAGCCATCCAAAAATGGAAAGACCTGACTCAGAAGACAGCGTGTCCTCTGCCTGCATAAGGTCCTGGTGAGGTCCTGTCAAGGGTGCTCTGCCCCGTGCTTTGACAGATGTGTGCGGAGATGAAAGATAAATAGCCATTCTTGAGCGTGTCCTCTGTGCCGGACAGTTTTAGGTACTTTTACGTGAACTAACACATTTAACCTCCAAACAACCCTATGAGACAGGAACTATTATCGCCTATTATTACCCTCATCTTACAGATGAGGAAACTGAGGCACAAAGAAGTTTAGTAACCCGCCCAGGTCACAGGGCTGGTATTCTAAAGAAGCAGGACTCAGCCCCAGGCAGCCTGGTGGCCCTGCTCCTACCTTGACCACCGGTGAAGTCGATCCTCTCATCATCAGGAATCAGGGGCCACATGACCGGGCACAGTGACCAGCTGTTCTGTGCTGGAAGGAGTTTAGAAGGCAGCTGACTCAGCCCGAAACGTGGGGTTAGAAGTCCAGAGGGCTTTTAGACTCTAGTCAAGGGAACGTCAGTCAACTGACTGATGTGCGAGGAATATCAGAGAGGACTGCGCTTCTGTTGAGCTCAGCGACTCTTTGTTCTTTGTTTTTGTTTTGTTTTTTCAAGACAGGGTCTCACTCTGTTGCCCAGGCTACAGTGTAGTGGTGCGGTCTCGGCTCACTACAAGCTCCACTTCCCAGATTCAAGTCATTCTCCTGTCTCGGTCTCCTGCGTAGCTGGGATGATAGGTGTGCACTACAACACTTGGCTAATTTTTGTATTTTTAGTAGAGACAGGGTTTCGCCGTATTGACCAGGCTGGTCTCGAACTTCTGACCTCAGGTGGTCTGCCCACTTTGGCCTCCCAAAGCGCTGGGATTACAGGCATGAGCCGCCTCGCCTGGCCTCAGTGACTCTTTGAACCCGCATCTCAATCAGGAAACCCGGGTACCACTTGACTCCAGGACCTGCTCTGTCTATAAAATGAGAAGCAACTAGAATATCCCTAAAACTCCTCTTAGCTATAAAATGTTCTGATTCATGACCAAGGGAAGAAAGAAAATGTATATGGAACCAAATAAAAATACTTTCTGATGTGAGCCAAGGAAGGGGAGAGAAGGATTTGGCTTCCTCATTCAGCCCCACCCTATAGAAAGTTCTGGCTCTGGCATGAAGACACACTGGTCTGGTTTCCTCTTGCTTTTATTTCACAAGAGCCCCCAAATATGACACTTATGAATGCCCTGATAGTAGATCCTAATCAGGTGATTGGTCTGGGGGCTGAAACTTTGCACAACCATTTCCCCTGGGGCTTGGCAATCTGAAGCATTCCTGAGACTTTTAGCTAAGAGTAAAGAGCTTCTCACGTGGTTCTCATGGTGATGTTTTCCTTGCAACAGTTCTATAAAATGAGTTAAAATAATTTTTATGACCTTGCACTTGGGAAAACCAATAGACACAAAGGTTTAGTTATTTTTCCACAATGTGAGAAGATGGGAAAAGTGGGAGAAGTTTTGATCCCGGAATTGGCTAGCTCCTTCTCAACCAAGCAAACCCTGGGATCTTTTCCAATCACATCTTTGATGAGAAGAAAGTGGCTTCTTGCTCTCCAACAAACATTTGCTTCCAGATTTCTGCACCTACTGTACAATTAGAGAAAGTTCCTGAGGGTTGAAGTCGAAGCTTCTGTCTTCTGTCTTCCTGTCAAGGTATCTTGGACCTCTGACCAAACCCTCAGATTAAAAGAGGAAATATCTTCATGGCTACTTTTTTTTTTTTTTTTTTTTTTTTTTTTTTTTGACATGGAGTCTCGCTCTGTCACCCAGGCTGGAGTGCAGTGGCACGATCTCAGCTCACTGCAACCTTCGCATCCCAGGTTCAAGCGATTCTCCTGCCTCAGCCGTTCTAGTAGCTGGGAGTGCAGGCGCTCGCCACAATGCCCGGCTAATTTTGTGTATTTTTAGTAGAGATGGGGTTTCACCGTGTTAGCCAAGATGGTCTCCATCTCCTGACCTCATGATCCGCCCACCTCGGCCTCCCAAAGTGCTGGGATCACAGGCGTGAACCACTTTGCCTGGCACTGTTTTGTTTGTTTGTTTGTTTGTTTGTTCGTTTGAGACAGAGTCTCCCTCTTGTTGCCCAGGCTGGAGTGCAGTGAAGCAATCTCGGTTCACTGCAACCTCTGCCTCTGAGGTTCAAGTGATTCTCCTGCCTCGGCCTCCTGAGTAGCTGGGATTTCAGGCCCACACCTCCAAGCCCAGCTAATTTTTTTGTATTTTAGTAGAGTTGGGGGGGTGCATTTTACCATGTTGCCCAGGTTGGTCGTGAATTCCTGAGCTCAGGCAATCCGCCCACCTCAGCCTCCCAAAGTGCTGAGATTACAGGTGTGAGCCACCACACCCATCCGACATTCTGAAGCAAGAGAATTTCTGAAATCCCAACTCTTCTCTACCCTAAAAGACAGTTCTGCCCAGTGGGCCCCAGTGAGTTGTCTCAGAGCATCAGGCCCTGGTATGCAACAAGACAAAGCAGCCTCTGTCACATCCTTACCATGAAGGATCGTTCATCCGATTGGAGGGCACCAGAGGCAAATGTTGACATCCTCAGTTTCATCAGAATCCTTTTCCAAAACACAAATAAGACATCTGAAATATGGCAAATATGCATCACGATGTTGAAATCTCACAACTAAACATCATTGCCGGTCCCCTGTGTTTACTAAGTTGATATTCACAATTTTAAAACTATCGATCAATTCTTTCTTTTTTTTTTTTTTTTTTTTTTGAGACGGAGTCTCGCTCTGTCGTGTGGCGATCTCGGCTCACTGCAACCTCTGACTCCCAGGTTCAAGCCGATTTTTCCGCCTCAGCCTCCCGAGTAGCTGGGATTACAGGCGCTCACCACCACGCCTGGCTAATTTTTGTATTTTTAGTAGAGTCAGGGTTTTACCATATTGGCCAGGCTAGTCTGGAACTCCTGACCTTCTGATCCACCTGCCTCAGCTTCCCAAAGTGCTGGGAATGCAGGCATGAGCCACCATGGCCAGCCAATAAATTCTTTTTTTAAAAAAATATAGATTTATTTAGAAACAGGGGAGAGAGTGAATTGCAGTCCCTAACTACCACAAATAATGCAGTTGCGTTTCCCACATTTGGAGAAATGGCCGGGGTCAGCCCATCCGGAGTGCAGGGCGTGAGCCTCGCCCTGGGAAACCACCTTCGTGATCGTGGTACCTCCCCTGTGGGTAAGTATTATTGACTAATGAGGTCATGATACTGTTTCTTAGAAAAACAAAGTAAGGCTAGGCCCGGTAACTCATGCCTGAAATGCCAGCACTTTGGAAAGCTGAGGCGGGAGGATCCCTTGAGCTCAGGAGTTTGATACTAGCCTGGGCAGCAGAAGGAGACCCTGTCTCTACCAATTGAAAAGAAAAAAAAAGAAAAGTAAGTTTAGGACATTTTGATTATGGGTGGAAATTGGCATAAACTTGGGATGAGAGGAAGGTCTTGCACATTATAAGTGGGTCGTATTCCCCAGGCTTGGTGAGTTGGTTTGGAGTGGCCAAAGACCACATTTTCAGTTCAGAAAAGGATTTGCCTGGAGGCCATAGGATTGCAGTGTCATCTGAAGAGCTCCATGCTGGGGATTTCTACAATGACCGGGACACAGAACAGGGTTTCTTTTCTGATTGTCTTTAGACTTAACATAATGATCCAGAAGCAGAGACTTCTGCTGCCAATCTGTAACTTTCTTTTCTAAACATGTTTCCGTGGTCTCTGGGAGAATGTTAACGTAAGAGCCAGTGTGCGTGAGGCTGGGCATGGTGGCTCATGCCTGTAATCCCGGCAGTTTGGGAGGCCGAGGCAGGCGGACCACTTGAACCTAGGAGTTCGAGACAAGCCTGACCCACATGGTGAAACCCCATCTCTACTAAAAATACAAAAATTAGTTGGGCTTGGTGTTTTGTGCCTGTAATCCCAGCTGCTCAAGAGGCTGAGACAGGAGAATCACTTGAACCCAGGAGGTGAAGGTTGCAGTGAGCCGAGATCGTGCCACTGCACTCCAACCTGGGCAATAAGAACCAGACTCCGTCTCAAAATAAAATTAAATAAAAAAGCCAGTGTGCGTGAACCTCGTGCAGCTGTCAGCACAAGGTGGGCTCTGTGTTAACATGATGTTAGCTAACGCAGGACGCAACAATGAATTACATCTCATGTTTTCCATTTATCCCCCAATGATAGCAGTTTTTGTTTTTTTGTTTTTTGCTGTTTTTGAGATGGAATTTCACTCTTGTCACCCAGGCTGGAGTATAGTGGTATGATCTCAGCTCACTGCAACTTCCACCTCCCGGGTTCAAGCGATTCTCCTGCCTCAGCCTCCCAAGGAGCTGGGATTACAGGCGCTCACCTCCACGTCTGGCTAATTTTTGTATTTTTAGTAGAGACGGGGTTTCGCCATGTTGGCCAGGCTGGTCTTGAACTCCTGACCTCAGGTGATCCACCCGCCCCAACCTCCCAAAGTGCTGGGATTACAAGCGTGAGCCACCGTGCCCGATTGATAATAGCAGTTTTAAAAGAGAGTAAAACTTATGGCCCATTGTCACAGTGAGGGTTTTGGTAGGATTTATTAGTTATAAATATTTCTGATTTATATATCAGCTTCTTTAATCTACCCTCCCAATGGCAGATGGAATATTTGTTAACCTTCCCTCTCATTGTCCACTAAGCCTAGGATCTGAGATGCTATGAAATTTCTCCTAAGATAAATCTGGATCATAGGATGCACCTCAAAACATAGGGATGTTTGCATTGTTTTCCACTGCCATCAATTCTAAAATTTTCTCTTTTTTTTGAGATAGGGTCTTACTCTGTCACCCAGGCTGCAGTGTAGCAGCACAATCACTCCTCACTGTGGCCTCAATCTCCCGGGCTCAAAAAATGCTCCCACCTCAGCCCCCTGTGTAACTGGGACTACGAGCACACACCAGCCTGCCTGGCTTATTTTTATTTTTTGTAGAGATGGAGTCCCACTATGTTGCCCAGGCTGGTCTTGAACTCCTGGCCTCAAGCAATCCTCCCACCTCGGCCTCTCGAGGTGTTGGGATTCTAGGTGTGAGTCACCACCCTGGCCCTAGAAATTTTCATTGCCAAATGAACATCGTTTCCCCAGGCTGGTGTTAGGAAACTGGGGGATCCTGTGTTCTCTCCAGCACCAGGTTTTCCTGAGCAGAAAATGAGCCTTATCATGTACTCAGAATCGTCAGATATTTGTAGAGCCAGAAAACATCTTAAAAATCATGTTGCGTCATTGCTTTCTGCAGATGAAGATGTCAAGACTTGGAGTAGGTGACAGTTGGCCTTGGGCTTCGGTGGCCAGCCCATGACTACAAAAGCCCAAGAAGCCAGCGAGTCCCCCGGCTCCCTCCACCAAGTGGCCTCTGGGTGATGGGGAAGCTTGTCCTCTGCTTTGTCACACACAAAACTCTAAAAGTCAGGATCCCAACGCATCGGCCTGGAGAGCCCATGCAGGTGAGAGACACACACTGGAGGATGTGTTGGGGCCAAAGGCGGGGCCAAAGTCAGATCCAGTGACATCACTGCCAGGCCCCATGCAAACGGACAATATGGGACTCCTGGTTCCAAAAGCTGGAGAAAAGCTTTTTCCTGTCCTCCCTTGCCTGTCATGGTGGTTTTGATTTGCGATTGAATGGTGTGCTCCCTGGGACTGGGTGGGGGGCAGGAGGGGCGGGTCCTCAAAGACATCTCTGGGAGTCTCACAGACTCAGGTGCCCTGGGGCAGGGTGCCTGAGTCCTAACCCTGAAACCCTAAATGTTCTTGATCCCCCCAGCCCCTGCCCCACTGCCACCAGATCCCTCATCCCACTGGACTTCATTTACAAACTACAAAGTCAGAAAGAAAACTATTAAGAAGTCCAAGAGGGGCCGGGCGCATGGCTCGCACCTGTAATTACAGCACTTTGGGAGGCCGAGGTGGGCAAATCACCTGAGATCAGGAGTTCGAGACCAGTCTAGACAACACGGTGAAACCCTATCTCTACTAAAATACAGAAATTAGCCGGGCATGGTGGCACGCACCTGTGATCCCAGCTACTCGGGAGGCTGAGGCAGGATAATCGTTTGAACCCAGGAGGCAGAGGTTGCAGTGAGCCAAGATCGCACCACTGGCCTCCAGCCTGGGTGACAGAGCAACACTCTGTCTCAGAAAAAAAGAAGTCCAAGAGGGCAATTGCAGAGAATTAAACCCCCTGGGCGGGCCCCTCTGAGGGCAAGGGTCTGTGCATCCACATTGTCCATAGGCCGCGGAAGCCTGGCCAGAGGTGAGCAGCCTCTTGGATGTCTGCAATGGCTCCAGAGGTGAAAGATACTCGAAGGCCAGGGAGAATGCGAGCTGCGGGGCTGGGCACAGTAGCCCACGCCTGTAATTCTAACACTTTGAGAGGTCAAGGTGGGCGGTTCCCTTGAGTCCAGAAGTTGGCAACCAGCCTGAGCAACATGGTGAATCCCTGTCTCTATCGGGGGGGAAAAAAAGGAAAAAAAAAGAAAAGAAAAGAAAGAAGAAAGAAAAAAGAATGCAAGTTTCATGTTTGGCCAAAGCCTCCACTGAGGGGAGCTTCTCCAGTCCTGACTGCCGCGTGCCCTGGGTGGTGGAGGAATTTGGGGGTGGATTCTATCTCAGTTGTATCTGGAAGAATTCTCAGGTTAGAGGGTGAAAAATATCTCTTTTATCCTTTCTCTCTCTTTTTTTTTTATTTTTTATTTGAGACAAGTTCTTCACCTGGGTCTGTCACCCAGGCTGGAGTGCAGGTGCCATCACGGCTCAACGCAGCCTTGACCTCCTGGGCTCAAATGGTTCCCCCACCTCAGCCTCCTCGGTAGCCAGGACTGCAGGTGCACACCACCACACCCAGCTAATTTTTATATTTTTTGTACAGATGGGGTTTAACTTTACTGCTCGGACTGGTCTCAAACCCCCCAGGCTCAAGAATCTGCCTGCCTCCACCTCCCAAAGTGCTGGGATTACAAGTGTGAGCCACCGTGCCCAGCCAATGTAATTTCTTAACGTTGATTTCCCCCTTAGGATGGACACTCTGCTGGGAGGTGGGAAAGGGTCTGCAAGTGGCTCCTCCCCTGTCATCTGAATCTTTCATTTGGTGAATAGGAGGATTTACGTGGAATATGGTTTTTCTGATAACATCGACGTTCCTTCCCGTGCCTTCTGAGTCTCTTCCTCTTAATTTGACTCTGGTCTCTGCTCTTTGCTGGACTCAGTGAGTATCTCACGCTCAGTTTTGGTGGAGGTCATGGATTTAACCCTTAGAGACACCATGGGGCAAGACGCAAGCCCATGAAGCCATGAGATGGCAAACCCCACATGTGAAGGCACCACCCAGTAGTGAACATTCCCCAGGGAGGCGACCTTGGTGTTAATTCATTTATTAAGAATCATGAGGCCAGGCGTAGTGGCTCACGCCTGTAATCCCAGCACTCTGGGAGGCTGAAGCGGGCAGATCACAAAGTCAGGAGTTCGAGACCAACCTGGCCAACATGGTGAAACCCCCTTCTCTACTAAAATTACAAAAATTAGCCAGGCATGGTGGCGAGAGCCTGTAGTCCCAGGTGCTCGGAATGGCGTGAACCTGGGAGGCGGAGGCAGTGAGCCGAGATCACGCTACTGCACTCCAGCTGGGCCCACAGAGTGAGACTCCATCTCAAAAAAAAAAAAAAAAAAAAAAAGAATCATGGCATCCAGCACCCTTCTAGGTACTTCACAAAACCATGCAGTTATTTTGTCCTGACCACCCCTGAGGCAGGTGCTGTTATCATTCCTGGTCTTCAGATGCAGAGAGTGAAGCCTGGAGGGAGAGACTCTGCATCCCAGGCTCCGACTCTCACTCCCAGAAAATGGGGAGCTGGAGCCAGCCCAGGGCTGTGCAGCTCCTGAGCCCGGCGCCTCGGGTGCTCCGCTCCACTGCCTCGCCATCACCTGCAAGGGCTTTATGCACCCAGCACCCAGCACCCAGGCACCCAGCACCCAGCACCCAGGCAGGCGGCTCAGGGAGCAGGCCTCTTTACCAGTTTAGTTGCCACATCCCCAAAAAGCATGGAGTCTGGAGCAGAGATCGTTCCAGCGATAGTGAGTTTGGGAAATGCTGAGATCGATTCTTGGCGGGGTGTGGAGGTACCAGGCTCCTCTGCCTGGGGAGGAACAGGTGGCTACTCTCTGGAACATCC